AAATTTTTCCTGCCGAAGCTGGTCGTAACCCGAAATGTTCGTTAGTAGAGGCGTTCATAACCCGAGGTACCACTGTATGTTCAAAGCCTCCTGTTCTGGACAGACCAATCTGTTATGGAGTCACATGGCCATTTTCTGGAAGCTTCAGAATCAGAAGCCATTCATGGTGTTCACCTTCCACTGAAGTAGACTCCTGGAACACTGTAAATGCTTCTGATTCAAAGGACTAACTTCCAGAAATTGCTAGACCACCCCCTGGAACGGAGTGTTGGCAGACTGACCAAGGATACATGGAACATTCCAGAATTCTCTGGATTGTTCCATTCTCAGAACAACAGATTTTGCACAGAGATTTTCTTTCAGCCATGCTTCTCCTCCACCTGCTAGGTGCTGCCTGTATCATTTTTCTTTCATTCTTTTCCCATCTTACACACACACGCGCACACACACACTGCTGCCTGCTCAGGAAGGAAGGATATTATTCGGATTAGCTATGATGTGGGAAAGAGAAGCAAGCTGGAACAGGAATCTGCTGGGAATAGGGAGGATTCAAATGTTCAGTTTCCAGAGCAAGCTTCTTTCCCTAGACAGTCATTGTGGCTCCCTGGTCCTCATTAAACAGAATATATCCCACTCTCAGGGATATGATTGTGTACACTGTGCAGCCTATTCTCTTAAGGCCTCTTCTGAGATACCTTATAGTAACTATGGAAACATTACCTGTTTGCTGCTTATAATAGCCAACTATGATCATGTGAAGTTACTACAACAGGCAAGCTGCCTCTATAGAAAAAAAAATCTGTGGTAAGAAAACATTATTCTTTCAAGGCTCTGTATTCCTTTCATGAAGTTAGCAAACCCTTGGTGTTCCAGGCCCACTGCTACACCTCAAGCTTTACTTCTCATTCTTCAGATATTGCAAGGATATTCTCTGATGCTACAATTCCTTTGGGGAATTCATAACAGTCTGGAGGAACTCATTTAAGTTCACTGCAATCATCTGCATACTCACAGCACTATAAACCTATTAGTGAGAGCCAGTGTCTCAGTTACTAAAACAGACTTATATTGCTTTCCTGTTAATCTTTTAACCTCCTACTTGTTTGACTTTGCTGTGACATATTTTATAATGCAAAATCTCAGATTAAGGAGTTACCTCCTTGCATTCTCCAAGGTGCTCAACAGATTGACAACAGGATATAAACATATAATATATGTATACATATTGATCAACTGGGTTCACCTTAAGTCATAAAGAATGGTTTATTAAATAAATCTTCAGTAGGTTCATTAAGCACATTAAGCTATAAACCATGGTTTGCAAACCAGAATAGCTGGATTTGCACAACACACTATACTGAATTCAAATCTTCCCCATTATGGCTTAGTCCAATGTGGGAAGCTGATCATTATCAGAAGCATTTTTCTTTCCCACAAGATATCATTGTAGACCTTTCATTTTTTAAAATAATTTTTATTAATAGAGTTTACATAGATAAGAAATACATTCAAAGAAAGAAAAAAGAAAGAAAATATAGCTAGGTAGCTGTAAAAAAGAAAAGGAAAAAGAAAAAACAGAGAGAAAGGAAGATAGAAAAAAGAAGAAAATAAAAAGAAAGCATTAAAAAAATTATATAAAGAAATGGCTTCTGTTATCCCTCCAGGCCGTTATACATACATTTCTAATCAAACCCCTCTCTCTAATTTCATCATAATCCCCTTCTTTCTATAACCTATTCTTCCTAATCATCAAAACCATAAATCACAAAATCATTTTCTTTCTCATGCAAAAAGTCCATAAGGGTTTTCCAGTCATTGATGAATGTCAGTAATGACCTTTCTCCATTGTAGGCCTTTCATGAGGAATATAGCTTCTTTATCTGGGAGTAAGATACATCAGGCCACATCACAGACAGCCTCATTTTCCTTCATCCACAATTAATTTCGGTAGCCAAAAAACCAACACAGCTCCCAATAATATAAAAGGCTTTAAATAACAGTTGCAATGGATCTATCCTTCATTATCCTACACCAGGATGAGCATCCTGGAGGTCTCCAGCTATTGCCAAATGACAATACCCATCACTCTGATTATAGCTGGGACTGATATAATCTGGAGGTTTCTAACAGACTCCTCACCCTTGCAATATAAGAAACATTAAGACAAAATCCAGAAAAGGCATTTCACTGAGATCAAAAGGTCTCTTTTGCAGTTTATAAACATGCAATATTAGTTTCAGCCACTCTTGTGTCCAAGTGGCACAAGTTTTAAGTGTGCTTTTAAGTAACATGTTGGATGCTTTCCAGGGAATTATGTAAATAGCTCCAGGCATTTTTACTCCTTCCCACCCCCACCCCCAATAAAAAGAGCAAAAATCCTCCTCTATGTCAAGCTGTACCTGGCATGTCACAGGTGTAATTCCCAGAGGCAGTACACAGGTTCACAGTTCAAAAAGAAAGACAGAGGCCATATATCTAATGTGAGCATGCAAAAACCTAGGTACCTTTCCACTGCACTCTAGGTTGTACCCATGCTGTACCAACAAATAACAGCTTTCTTTCCTCGCTTTCCCAGACGACACATTCTGATCCAGATTCTTCATAAGCCCTAATTCCTAAATAATGTTCCAAGGGTAATCATAAAAGGGTCAAAAGAAATGGTTAAACTGTTTTGATAGTCTTCCTATCAGTCCTAATGACATCACCACCATTGTCATTATTTTGTGATAGCGTCCTTGTTAACTAGCTGTCATTCACACAAATAAAGGCTGGGTTTGGCCCACACACACTAGCTAGGCTCAACTGGGGTTTGGTAGTTTATGGCTCAGTGTGTTGGGGAAACCACAGCTTTGCCTCAACATCCTATATAAACCAGGTTATTGTATTAAACCACACTATGATTTTATTTATTTGGGCATAGTATTTTGCTTTAAAACAGGATTTGTATACCATTAACCCAGGTTTAGGGTACTGTATAATCCCAGCCAATGAATGCTGTAATTTCTCACATAATGCTGCACACAGAACTTCAGTCAGAACTGTAGCTTTTAAATGTATGTATGCCCACTCCTTGTCTAGGGACCAAGTTCCATTCCAGCAAGCATGTCATTAAGCGAAACTGTCACTAGGTGAACATAAGACAGAGTGAGAGAGAGACACTGCGAAGATCACTAGTTGCTGCCATCTCATTCAGATACAGTTCTCTCATACAGCTACACCAGCTTCTCTCTCTCTCTCTGGTATGTGTTGTTGTCAGGCGCACAAATTTTGGTTGTAAATGTGCACATTGGTCGAAAAATGAATTTTTTATTACCATTTATAACCACTGTATTTACGAATGGTTGCTAACTAAGGTAGTCACTAAACAAGGAGTGGGAGTATGTAGAAAACTGAGTTAATAAATGGGAACCTGTTGTTCTAAGCCATTCTGAGCAGCACAAACTTAGCTCTTGAAACAGCCCTTGAAGTTAGGCTTGAACAAGACTACCTAATGAACCTTCCATCTAAGTGTGTCTCAGCTTTCTCCAAATCATCCTATGTACCACATCTTAACAGGTTTCCTATGGTTTGTTCTGGCACTGTTCTGTACAGGCAGTATGAAAGGGGACCATGCAGTTCTCCATATTTTACACATCACATTTCGGTCAAAGAAAAACAAGGGACATTATGAGATGCTTAGCAACAGATCGTAAGACAAGGATTACTCACTGCCAGCGTGCTATCACCAACATTTGAGGCTATAAGCCCTTCAATTGTGCCATATTCTGCATCCCTTGAATTCAGCCTTTCCATATGGCGCTGCCGAATCTTTCTGATGATCAGCGCCGCTGCTGCAGAAAATACGATCAGCACCATAACGGGAGCCAGTATGAAAATGACAAGCGTTTCCATGGTATAACCCATTGCTTCCCCTTGAGGTGGATGCCCTTCACAAAGAGAAACAACAAAAAATACGATTAGACAAAAGCTTAATGCTGATGATTTTGAGAAAGATGCCTTAAGAGGAAAATTGAGTAAAAACAAGAGCAAAACGCGACTTTATTTATTTATCAATCATATTTATCTAGACTTCCTTAAGAAGGTGAGCACACGCACAGGTGTTTCCCTTTACAATGGAAGAGGATTCAGAAAGGAGGAGGTCAGACCATGTACTTCTTCTCCTGCCACTCTCTGAAAAAGGATATTTGGGGTTTTTGGCGGGGGGGGAGGTAAAGAGGTATACAAAAATTTCCCATGGATATTCAAATTCACATATGGAAAAACTTGGTGCAATAAGGCGTTACTCTACTATCAGTGAGAAAATAAAACAAACAAACAAAAAGTACGGAGTCATTCTCTCCAATCTCATGAGTGTTATTCCATTAAGTTTGTAAAATCATCTATTAGTAAGATAAACTTTTCCTGGCCGGTTATGCTGATCACCAGCCTCCTGCTTGGACACTTGTACCCTTTGCTCTAATCAAGAGGCAGGCAACCTTTCTTCTGTTGATAGAAAGAGTGGGGGCTGCTCTACAAGCTAATGGTAGTTTAAAAGTATGGTAGATGAAGCTACCATTTTTATGTTTCGATTGTTTATTGCTTTCAAACACATGTGACCAACACCCCACACCCCCCGCCATGGATTCCCAAGCAATTTAGAGAAGAATGACAACTTTTTTCAATCTGATCAGGCTTGTGTGGGAAGAGCAGGAACGCTGCCCAAACTCATTCATGCTTTACCTGGGCAAGCATGCAGATCTTGGATCTCCTATGAAGGCTGCCAAACAAAGACAGACTAACAGTAAAAGGTTCTCCCTCTCGGAGGTCTCTTTAAAAGAATAACAAAAAAGTTTCACCTTTTGTTGGTAGCTCTGCTGTTATGTTAATGTTACACAGGTCCCCTTGACAGCATTCAACTGCTTGATCTGAAGATGGAGGTGTTCTGCATGTCATCTTCCCCTGCTCGTAGACTTGGAAGCAACCCTTCTGATATACTCTAGCGCCATTATTGATGCTCAAGGAGGAAAAGCACCTATGTCCTCTGCAGCGGACTCCGTTCACACATGACATGCCTTCACACACGCATTCATAGTCAGTCATTAATTTTAGCTCATCGTCTGTGGAGAGGAGGAGACATGACATTTCATTAAGCCAAGAGCATGCAAACAAATGCATTCTGATGCATTTTAACAAAAAATTGTTCGGTTCTCCAATTCTGTGGACATTTTGCAGAATCCATCCTCCCTCTTGGTCCAACTATAGGGCATTAGCATTCCCTACAAAAGCAAACTGTTCAGCATTTGTGTACTCTGTTGAGTTTTAAGGTTAAATTAAACAGACACCATGCTAAGCCAAAATGTGCTTTGTTTGGTTTTGGCTCATCGTGAGGGTAGGAACTCAGCTACTGGTTTGCAAACCACTGTTTAGAATTTAGTATATGTGCAGACCCGATTTGGTTTACTCAACAAACTGTCTTTAATCAAACCATGGCATAGCATGACACGTAAGCAAGGCTACTCAGGAGAGGGGGGCATGCTTGCCCGATGTCTTCAGTTTTCCATCAAAACGGGTAGAATTCAGTAACTGTGAATATAAATGGGCATAGAAATATCCTACAAATTCTTTCAGAGTTTTCTTGATATAAAAGCAAAATCCCCTAACTTATTTGACCTAATTTCTAAAATTCATTCTACAGGTTTAATCATAAAATTGCCTCTGTTCATACAACATTCTAAGCCTAAGCCAAACCCAAACCCATCACATTACGCAGGAATCAAATATACATAACTGGATGTCTACTGTAAAAACCACCTTCAAAACACAAGCTTGATTCAAGTATCATGCTAAGCCATAATGTGGTTTTCTTGGTTTAGGCACAAAGGCTTGTATAAGTTAAGACTTATTCAGTAAACTGCTGTTGGACAAATAATGGTTCAACATTTGTGAATTCACCCATAGATTCCAATCCTGGCTTGTCATCCATTTGTAAAATGTGTTTTAGATAATGCTGACATCCCATCCCATCACAATTAAGCTTCCATAAAGATGGTTCAGCACATCAACTAAAGGAGGCCGTTGCCCAAGGACCCTGGAATTTCAAAAACCAGGAGGAGAAATCATCACAAAGATTCTCAGAAACCCTTGACTCTTCTTCCTTTGTCTCCATACCTTTCTGCGCCTTTTCTGGCTGCCCCAAATAATGTAACTATCAAGCTGTATACAAGAGAGATCATGACAATATCTTCTCAAAGGATATACTGAATTACATAAAAAAAGATCAGGATGAAGGAATCACATTTATCTAATTTTAATCAAGCAAACAGCCTTGGGGAAAGACAGAATGCATCCACCTGGCACGCTTGGAATAGGATGTAAGGAACAGAACATGTAAAATATAACAATAAATGACCCTCCTTATCTCCCCACTTAAAGTGCATCATTCTCAGGGAAAGCCAATGGACTGTGGCATATTAAACAGAACATGCAACAAACACCTCCCAACTCTAGGGCTAAAAAATAAAACAATGCAGCCAAGTAATAGTTTGACGAGCTTTTGTGACACCCAAAATACACTGACTCTGATGGCTGATATATTTTGCTTAATAGTAGGGCTGGCCCTGTCAGCAGGATATGATTTTTCAATTATGGGCAAGAGAAAGTTCCCACTGTAGAGTTTAGGCATGTATATGTTTGAAAGGATCAGGGATTGCAACTGAGTGTCCCAACCTTCTGGGGATCTGCTGAAAATCACCTGCTGATCTGAGGATATCACCAAAGGACTGGGCCTCTGGGGTTTCAAGGGTAAGAATGGTAGTTGGAGGTTCCAACCCTTAAATCTGTGAGAAACACACACGTGTGTGCACTCACACACACACACACAGAGACAGAAATTGCCCCATGAAATAGTGGTTTCAGATCTTTTGGGGGAGGGGGTGGAGGATGGGAACAGGAATGTGAGGATGGATCCTGTGCCTTGGAAGTGTTCTGCAGACGACTTTGAGATCCTATAGATCTGGTATCCTAGAGATATGCAGGAATTGTGTATGTTCATAATTCAAACACATATACTGAAACCAACTGGTAATCAGCCAAATTATATTTTTAT